AACGCACAGTACGTCGAACTTTGAGGCAGATGGGCTACAGAAGCAGTATGGCGAGTGGGAAAGAACAGGAGTTGGAAGACGCGCCAGCAGCACTTTATAGGTCTGCTGTATGGGACCACTTTGCATTTAGAGTGACCTACGATGACGGCCGAAAGAAAGTTGTGGATAAAAGTGCAACAGTGTGCGAGCATTGATGCTAACAGCATCAACAAAACACGTTAAACAACATCGAAACACGACCAACATCTCAGCTTAGAGATTTTCCTAACAATCAACATATACCGAACCGAAAACCCTGACCACGAAACCGTGAACCCAACCGTGGACTTTGTGAACCGTTCCACCCCTAGTATGGGGCATTGCAGGATAACAAAGAAACCGTTCCAAAGGGGCGGACCCATTCGTCCGTTTTAATTAGTGTTGCAGTGATGCCCTTTTTTTGCCCCGATACCCGATACCTGGCTGTTCAGTATCAGCTGATACCGGTACCATCTGTATTGGTATCAGTCAATGACGTATCGGCTGATACCGCCGTGCAGTTCTTCTATAACCGATGACCTATCGGTAATAGAAGAACTGCATGCTACTTGGATGTAAAATAATTACCATCATGGCTTTGTCAAGCTGCTGCCTACCTTTGTGAAGCAGGTAAAAAACTAATATAAAGTGAATCCAGTAGAACTTTTCACTGCCTACCTGGAATGGGTGACAATAGTTGAAGAAACTTTTTGCTTTCGAAATGATATCGGTGCCCTATTTGTTGGTACTCGCCGATACCGATACCACTGTTTTAGTGCTGGATCGGGGCCCCGCCCCAATACTGTGTCAATAACGGTGCAACATTCGTTTTTCAATTTCTAAGCAAAAACAAGACTTTGTTGGAAACAAAGTCCAGTGGATTGTTTTTTTTAAACTTTTTTGAGTACTGACATCTGAGCATCATTCCGATGCTCAGTCCTGCCTCCACACATCTGAGCGTCTCAGTCCGCTGCCCAGTTCTCCTCTTTCTGTTAACGACCTGCTTATTGGACTCAGGTGTGTTGAAGCAGAGAAACATTGAAGGCTGTGTTAACACTGCAGGCAAATGTGACCCAAATTTGATTTGTTTTTTTTGTTTTTTGTTTTTTCCCACCCATATGCGACTGGTATCAGCCTGTTTCACAGCAGTCTGACCGGCCCAGTTTCATCCGGTTTGAGCAGCTTTCATCTGTGGTTCTAAATCAGAACCTGTCTGATAGTTTTTATAGTTTCTCACTGTAGCTCTAAACTTGCAGATCCAAACTCAGGAATCAAGATTTTTCATATTAGCCTTAAAATTTTACCTGTGTCTGACTTGAATGTAAACCGTTAGCAGCTCCAATCTGACACACAGTCATCACTCGGGCAGAGCTGCAAACATGGAGGAACGGGTGTTATTTTTTAACCCATTTAGGCCTAAAACGCCTGGAAAAAACACCTTAAAAACCTATGGCCGATTTTAAAAAATACCCCTAAAACCTGAAGTTTTTCTGTAAATTCAGCAACTGTGTCAACGCCTAGTAAATTATTGATATCTCAGCTTCTGTAGCAGATAGAACTCAAAATATATTTTATCTTTGAAATTCTTCCAAAAAAAAAAAAAGTGAAAAGCAGTAATAAAAAAAAAAAAAAAAAAATTCAACCTTTTATTTTTTCCATATGTGATCATGTCTTCATTGAGAA